TTATACATTTTAAAACTTCATGATGAAATTTATAACCTTCACTTATAAAGATTTAAGTCAGGGTTGTGTTCTTATGAGTTCTCCTCCGGGCAAGGATTACTGTTTGCATCTTTGAATCTCCAGTGCCTAAAATAAAGTAAGGCATCCATCCCTGGGGCACGGAGCTGCAAATCACAGGGTCCATGGTTTGAACCTCGCAGCTGTTCCACGGGAGAAAGATGAGGCTCAGAAACCCAAAGAGGCAATTCTATCTTGTCCTATAGGATCGCGATGCACCAGAATGGACTCTATTGCAATGAGTATTGATTTATCATAAAATAAGAATTCTGGGGTACTGTTGGGTAAGCCTTGGGCTGCTAACCACAAGGTCAATGGTTCAAACCCACGACAGCTCTGTAGGAGAAAGAGGAGACTGTTCCCATAAAGATTTATAGCCTCGGAAACCTTACAAGAGGTTGCTATGAGTTGGAATCTACTCAATGTCAACGTGTTTGATTTTTCAGGAGGTTTATCATAAAGTAGGTGTTCAGTATATGTTTGTTGACTAAGCAGCGGGGAGAATCTACACTAAGTAGACTAAAAATGGCTCTCTCAATGAATTGAACACTTCCACCAATGTGACTAAGAGAATGGGTTTTACGGATGGAGTTATACTGCTCAGATTGAAATCTTTCCTCCATCATATAATCACTATGATACATTGAATAAGATATTTCACCTCACTGTATCAGATCTCATCATCTCTAAACTGGGGCGAATAATGACACTCTTCTATAAGTTACTTAGGGATGAAAATGAAATATATGCGAAAGTATTTTCCAGCGTCCCGGCACCTAATGAGCCCTCCACCAGTGTTAAAAGCAAACAAACAAACAAAGCACAAGCCCTAGGAACTGTCCAATTGTTTCCGACTCATGGAGACCTGCGGGTTCTGTCGGTCTTTAAAGGACTGCCTTTTCAAAGGGAGGTTATCAGTTCTGGGTGCTTTGAAAAGACCAAGCTTTTGGTGTATCGTGTGTGCTGACCATCAATGCTAACTACTATCAGGTTTTCAAATGAAAAAAAATTAAAATCCAAAGAGTGGCACTTGACATAAGAAGCAAATCAATTTCAAAAAAATGCGTCCCCACGACAGGAGCATTGTTTGCCAACACAGCATCCTTCCGTTCCTTTCTGCGTAAGAGTCCCAGGCTTTCCTGTGCGCCATCAACCCGCCTAACGCACCACCTTGGGGTAGGCACCCGACGCGGACACGTCTGAAGAGAAACAGGGGCTGGCTTAGGGGTGGGGGATGACCTAAGTGAGCCCTCTCACAGCTGGTGGGCACTCCATGCTGGGATTCATGCAAATGAGGCAATGAGGGCCTGAGCCTGGGGTTCCTGGGGGCCATTCTCACCAGGCCATGGTGAGGTGAAAGAGAAGGGGAGAAAGGCAACCATCTTATTATCAGGTGACTTCTGCTTAGTCTGTAAGCTTTTTTTTAATTAAAAAAATCAGTCTTATTTAAAAAGAAATAGCTTTAAAGTTTAAATTCCCTCATCATCTTAACTCAGTATGCACTGGAGAAGCGGGGTGCAGATGCTTGGAGCCTCTTGGAGAAACACTGCCCACGAGGGTCCGCTGGTCATGAAAGGGTCCAGGAAAATGTGGAGATCACACATCCCGGCCGAGGGACTCCCCAAGGAGAGGTGAGATCGAAAGATTCACCCGGAGCGTTCAGGAACCAGAGTGTCAGACTGGCTCTGAGTGTCAGCATTCGTTCAGAGACACATGGTATCCAACTTAGACGTGTCTCCACTCCACGGCAGCAAGTGTCAACTCTATCATCAAAAGGGACGTATAATATCCAGTGTCTGTTTTCTCTTTTTGAAAAAAAAAAAAGTAGGATAGAATTTTAGGAAAACGATTTAATAAGTTGATTTCAAGCTCATGGCTTCATCAATTTCATGGCAATAAACGACAGCAACTTTGGAGGAGGTCCTAACTGACAGTGAACAAGATGACCTTGGGGAATTCATCTCCGTTTATAACAGAGCAGCTACAACTAGCTCGATCATAACCATTGGTAAAAAGCTTTTGCAGCATTCTCGAATACACAAAAGACAAGGCAAAATGAAATAGATTGTTTTCTAGGGGCGCCACGTGAGTGTCACAAAAGAAATCTGATGTTGACGAGATGTGGAAGGAGGGTGACATGGAAGTCATTTGATGCGGTCTCGGGTACTACTGGTAACAGGACACCCCACGGATGCTTCCTGCTGAAGGCCCTGTGAAGACAGAAGGTCAGCGCTGACCAAATCTGGGAAGCCACCGCAGCAGGGAACGATGCCGCCACTACACAAGGCGTGCATTGTCTGCGATGAAACGATTCCCCAGTGTATCTAGAATTGTGGGAGAGCTGTACCTATCTCAAGAGAAATGAGAAAATAGTCACGAAGTCGTTCGTGGGATGAAGGATCCTTGGCATGTACCCACAGTTCCACAGAACCACACAATTGAACATTCTCAACGGCGTGAATGTCTTGGACTGCACCCACCACCATCAGTTGTCTAAGTGCCAAGAGCATGTCATTGTGTGGCGATCCTACCCAATCCCAGGGAAATGCAGTAGCGTGACTCAACAGAGTTGCAAGACACATTTGGATTTGTCTTTGGCTAGAATTTTGTAAAATGGCTTACAACAAGCAGGTAATAAGGTTTACCTGCGTACAATGGGTTTCTACGAGGAGACTGTATTTTGTCTTGAATTTTGTGTCAGATTCGCCTGACTACCCAATATCCATGCTCCACTTTCTTTTCCAGTTTGAATGGGAACTACACATTAGATGACATTCCCTAGCTTCCCCGGCATCCAGTCTAGTCCATGGAAGTTGGAATACCAAGAAAATGGTGTGTGGTCCTGTGGGATTTGATGTTATTGTGACTGTTGTTTGCCTGCCAGGGGAATCAGAGAACCATCGTCAACATCGTCATCTTTGAAGTGCCCTTCAGTGGGGAAGCCGTGCGTTAGAACCGAGCAGCAGAAAGAGAGAAACGTCTTTGTTGCTGTACATTCCTGGGCACACCGGTCAGTAAGAAACGTCTCTCATGCTTTGCAAACTATCAACCTTCCTAAATGTGTGCCGCTGGTATTAAAAAATGTACTAGGATTCTTCACTATGCCACACATGATCAAAAACCCGAACCAGATGTGTGTGAGTGCCCTGTGTGTGCGGGGTAGAATGGGTCTCCGTTGGGTTTTCAGGGCTATGCACTTTTGGAAGCATATCATTTAGGTCTTGCTTCTGAGGAACCTTGGGTGGATTTGAGTTTTGACTGCTTGGCTGTTTGTGCCACCTAGGGACTCAGCGATCCTTCTTCGTGTTGTTGCCAAGTCATGGAAATGCCACATGAAGAGAGAATTGCCTCCTATGGCTTCCATGGCTCTGACCTTGGGAAGGGGATCGCTGGACTTGTCCTCGGAGGGGCCTCTGAGTGAACGCCAACTGCCAATTGTTGGCTGGCAGTTAAGCACATCCTGTACCACACAAGGGCTCCCTGTCATGTTGAAGGCCCATTATTTGGGGTTTGCTGTTGTTTGCTTAGGGGTAGAACCTAAGCCTAATGGATATCATGTCCATGCAGTTTCTTATTCAGTAATTGTCCAGTAAATGGTTATTGGGGGGTTGAAATTAGAATTCCTATTTAGGATAAAGGGAAAGAAAAATGACCTTATCCAAGTAGTGATATATTTATAACACACACACACACACACACACACACACACACACACACACACACACGATCCCTGATGGTGTAGTGGTTACAAGTTGGCCTGCAGTCTGCATGGTCGGCAATTCGAAACCACCAGCAGGTCCTGGGGAGAAAGACTGGGCTTTCTACTCCCATAACCAGTTACAGTTCGGAACCCCATCGGGGGTCGCTGTGAGGCCGCATTGGCTCAGTGACAGAGAGAGGTTAGATATATTTAGTAGGAAGAAGGACTCAGGTAAGTCTGTGGGTGGGAGATGAATAATAAGCAAGGAAGCTAGTACACTGTGTGGCATAAATTAAAATTACTGAAACGGACCCGCCACATACCCTGTACTTAACACAGACAACCAACGGGGGCAGAAAGGAGCGAGACGCGAGCTGGACGTGCAGGCAGATTGGGTGTATACAGATTCCTGACACCTTTGTGCGACTCGTCCTTCAGTGTCTGTTTACATTGGATCCACCACTTCTTGGTCGAATGGAAGGCTTTGGACTTTTGCTTCATGTACGCCAGGCAGACACTTCAGAAGAAATCTCCAGGACACTCAAAATTATTAACATGTCTTTGATGTCCAGTAAATCCTTTGAAGTCTAATTTCTGCTCTCTACTCTTGAGAGACGCATTGAAGTAGTTTAACTCGCCTTAGTGGAAAGGAGCGGAAACACTAAATCCGTACGTGAAGTTTCTCTCGCTCCTCAGGCAAACGTTCTGCTGCCCCTTGCTCTAATAGAGTCAGCGTGTGTGACTGTTGTGATAATTTGGCCAGTACTATGTTATTTGGGGAAATATTTAGGTTAACTATCCCACTAGGATTTCAGAGCTATCCAAATTCTTGTCAACTCCAGTGTTAGATGAACCTTTGGGGAAACCGTTAAGACCCATCTCTTCCATGTAATCTCCACATTATTCTGTTAATACCTTGAAATGCTTGCTCTGTCTCATATGCAAATATCCGTGGTTGTGCTTATGTAAATTATCAGCAAATATTATTCATTCTAAGTGCAACAGGCAGTGTGTAGGTATCTAATTCATTAGGATGATTCACCCATGGTCTTCGCTGTCAGTTTGGGAACACGCTTGCTTCTTTTTCTTATGCATGGGTAGAGAGAGAGCTTAGATGTTGGGAAAGAGAATTGTTCTGAAAAATCATTCTTCCCAGAGCCTTTCAATGTACCTTTGTTTCCACCACCCTCTTCTCGACTCCTTAGACTACAGCTATGGAGATAGCAAGATAAAGGTACCTTACCCCTGTGACGTCCATGACCTTAATGGCTGCGAGCTGGCCCGTTTTGACATGACGACCCTATAAAGAAGAATGAAATAAAGGACTTTAGTTCAGGCGGGCAGTGTGAGCACCCGGTGCCAACACATAAGAAGCATTTCCCAGGTCAATGTTACCGCATGTCTGCAAGAGACACACGCATTGAGCGCGTCAGGGGTTTGAAGGTACCCTCCCTCTTCCTTCTCTGTGTTTCTGCCGCTCCTGGTCCGCTCACCCTCCTTCCCCAGCTTCTCTCCTTCTGCTTTGACTTCCTTGGCAGTAGAATCTTTTCGCCACAAGACACCGTAGGTGGAAGCCCTGGCTCACACCGGGGCTTGGCCACCAGAGCACGGGGGTATGTCTCCTGATGGTATCTCTTCCCCCGTGGCAGCCCCTGAGGCACCTCTGCCCAACGCTGCAGTAAGCTCTCCCTCCACGAGAGGCAAAGAGCCTGCAGTTCATGACAGGGCACCTCAGCACCCAGTTCTTTCCATCAGCAGCCTGGGCAGCCGAGCAGATCTAGCCCAAGGCAGGGAGGAGAAAGGAGACAAGACACATTACATTTCCAACTCGAGGCACGGAAGGGTCTGGGTTCAGAAGACATATGTTAATACCTATCTTTTGAACTCCAGGCAGGAAGGATTATTTTTTCCCAGTTTTTTTTAAATGGGTCTATTTTGTTTTAAATAACCACTATGATGTCACTGAAGGGAACCCTGGAACAGAAAATCACCTCTTTCCCCTGCATTTTATATTTCTCTCCCAGCTGACATAACATTTGTGACAGATGACTAAGTAATGCACCTTGGGGACAGGAGATCCAGGAGGTGGAACAATGAACAGTCTCAGCTCCATCCCAGGCAGAGAGCGCCTGGAACAGGAGGGCTGCTGAGCTGTCGAGCTTCGATGGGGGGAGGGGGCTTGGGGGCGGGCAGGGCGCAGGAGAGCACTGCTCTTTACATCATGAGAGAATGTCAAGCCAAGTTAGGATCCAGGTGATGGTGGACTTTGTGGAAAGATCACTAGGCACTGGAGGCCTGTCATGGTTTAAGACAGCGTTTAGAGAGAGCTTTCTGAAAGCACACAGACATGGCAGAGAAAGCGCCCCGGAGGTGCCCAGCTAAATCGCCACCCTTCCGAAAGGAGGCCAAAGTCTCACAGCTAATAAGAATGCTTTTCCTCCTCTACCCGAGTTCTACCACCTGGGTCCTAAATGAGAAATTCTTATATTTAAAATTTTAAAAGTACTTGCAAAAACAAAAACACACAACCTTCTTGTTTGACTTGATGTGGGTCTAATATTGAATGCTCCGCGTGTTATCACACAGGCCTGCATTTATAAAGCCTTTGTTGGCTTTCTGAGGCAGGGCCACAGCTGCAGGCTGACTCATCACGATAAGGGCATTTCAAAGGGCCACTGCCATCCCTCACCATGTGAATGGATTTCCATTCATCAGGGACCTCAAAGGTACACATACGGACACCACCTTAACTACCACTTCAGCTAAGGACTTAAAATGAACTTCCCCAACACCCCAACAGGACGCATTTCAAAGGGGAGCAGGAAAACTTCAAGGACATGTCTCCTTCGACAGCCATTGCTCCACAAAAACTTGAGAACATACCTCGTCACCATGGCAGGTGCAGAGCCGTGCCTGAGACGTACATGTACTGTGGGTTTTCTACTGAGGTGACCAACATGAAGCAACGCTGAGTTGAAGCAGCAACATTTCGAGACACAACACTGATGGCCAAGTGGAACCCAAAGCCCACTATCAGGCCAAGTGCCAAAGTATAGCGAGCACATCCCGAGGAAGGAGGCGGGCCAAAGGGAAGCAAACGCACTGCCCGCAAGTCCATTCTGACTCAGCAAGCCTCGGACTGGGTCGAACTGCCCCCATGGGTGATTGCAACTCCCTATGGGAGTAGAAAGCCTCCTCTTCCTCCCATGGAGTGGCTGGCGGCTTTGGACTGCCGACCTTGCGGTTAGCAGCCCAACGTGCAACCACGACACCATCGGCCATCGGGACCTCTAAAGGGGAATGCTCTGGGTTTGGGGTTACTCAGTGGTGGCTCAACCTGGTCCTCAGATACACTCACAAATTTGCACACACACACACACACACACCCCGGCTCCCGGTCTTAAAACTAGCCATGTTGTTTCACTTTTGACCAAAAAGACCTACGTTGATTCTTGCTCTGTCCTCAACAATTCAACATCTCGCTGGAAGCCGAATCCATCAAGCCCCGCAGCATTTTACCACCCTTCCTTTACCTCCTCCCTCCCATGATGGCCGGGAGAAAACAACAATCTTCTGGCCAGCCTCAGCTCCATTATGATGTTATTTTCAGAGGAACAGCAAGATGGCTTTGGCGCAGCTAGCCTGAGGCTAGCCTGGGAGAGAGAGTACTGTCATTTGTAGGTCAGCAAAACAAATCTGTGTCCCCCCGGAGCACCCACAAGCCAACCAGCGCTGTGGAAAATGTAGACGCCTTACCTACCCCCACCTCCATCCCCCTGTCCACCGGGAATCTCGCACGCAGCCAGAGCGGCTCATGCTCCTTCATGGTTTAGTTCAGGTGAGATCTCAAATGGACGAGGAAGCCACCTTCAATTCCCCAGCGGCAGACGAGTGTCCCACCATCGTGCTTCCATGTCTACCTACACGATCGCCACTGACCACGGCCAGAGCTGTGATTTCCAAAATATGTGTCACAAGAACCATTAAAAAAAAGAAGTGGAATATTGAGCACACAGCACGTAGTCACGACAGCTGTTGTACTGTGGACCCATTGTTTCCCCTCACGTCCAACTACCGACCTACAGATGTGTCTGTCAGTCATCGATGCTGTAGTGAACTGCCCAGATTTCCCCCTTCAGGACTGAAGGCCTGGAGGCTCTTAGCTGAGAGCCATTCTCAGAATTGGCTTCAGCCACGAGTTCCGTCGCCTTCACTCAGGTCACCCAACCACGGGCTCGAGCACAGGAGCAACTAACTGTAAGGACGATGCAGGACCCGGTAATGGTGCTTTCTGTTGGGCACAGAGTGGCTATGGGTTGACCCCGACTTGATGGCATCTAACAGCAACAGCAACAGGCTCATGATTCTTCCCCCAGGACACCAAAGATAACGACGGGCTAATAGATACATGAGGATGAAGACCCAGCTCCCAGTCTTAAAGTGGGCACATTCTGAAAAATCATTCCATTTCCAGCACCAGCTCCTGACCTCTTTGGTGGAGGTTGCGGCTTGATTGAGACTGCATTGCAGTTAAATTTCCATCCTTTCCCCAATTCTACTGCCTTTGCAAGGGTAGACACTGAGTGCTCCCCAGTAAAAATGCTGATGCAAATGTCCGTTTCAGTATGTTTACAGGTACTCCAAACCCACTACTATTAAGTCAATTCTAACTCATGGGGCCCCAGAGGACAGGGGAGAATTGCTTCATGGGGTTTTTAAGGCTGTCTATCTTTTAAGGCTGGCCACATCTTTCTCCAGGGACTGCCTGATAGAGTCGAACCACCAACCTAGGGCAAGCATCCATGATGCCATCAGCACTCCGAGCTTCCAGGAGAGCCCTCCCTAAAATGGTGTTGAGGATGGTCATGACACAAGGAAGCCAGTTCTAGAACTAGGTGTACAGGACAGCCCCTTCATCAGTGCCAGCTGGCACATCCACAGCTCCTGGCATGCTGTAGCAAAGTAACCGTCAAGTGTTCACTAGTGGAGACCTGGCCACTGGTGGATGGGAACAGACTAGTTAGTACAATATTTCTGACTTTTGAGGTCCTAGTGGTAAATGTAAATTTTTGTAATGGAATCAGATGGCTGTTGCTAAGGGTTATTCTTCACCTCCTAACAGCAACGCATGTACATCACAAGGGAGAGAAGGTCAAACCCCGAGTGCGTGTGCACACTGCCTTGCAACACAGACAGCTCTGCATTGTCTTTGAACAAGCTATGACTATCACCAGGCAGGCTCATTGGGCTCAAGGGGACCTGGGGTTCAAGGGTGTCCACTCAGAAATCCTTATGCCAGGCCCCAGGGTCACAGCTTCCTACTCAGAAGAGGGCCCAGAGCTCTATTCCATCTTTTCATATGATAATGAATGCCTGGGAGCATGGTCCTCAGACATTTCTACCCTCCTGCTGTAGAAGACCAGTCTTTTAAAGTGCTGCTGAATTGTGTGGTGTGTGTGTGTGTGTGTGTGTGTGTGTGTTTACAGTAAATTGACCATCGTAGCAGCCATGCCCAAGACAGGCCTGGTGAACAGGAGTGCAGACTTCTCAGAGATAAGAAGGTAGGTAGGAGGAAGCCCAAATTTCTGTCATCTAGACCAGCAAAGACATGAACCAAGGGTGAGGAGAACTAAACATGGGTAGTAGACTAGGAAGAGGATGAGTCCTGGTTCCACTTCAGAACATATGCAGTGGCAGGGCCTGTAGTTCTTACTGTCTATTTGTAACTTTGACTAGGAAAAGACCTCAGTCAGGAACTTACAAAGTAAGTGGCGCTGAGCATCCCAAGGGGTGGACTGTGGTGGCGCAGTGGCATGCCATCCAGGTCCCTCCTTCAGGACTGAGGTACTCCACCCTCTAGAGTCTACTGCAAGGATTGGCAACTGACAACTCTCAATTGAATCTCTCTCCAGGGATTAATCTTAGCCAAAGGGAGCTGCCCCAACCCAGGTCAGATGTCCTGCCTAAAGCAATCAGTCCTGAAAGCAGCGTCTGTTGACACAGGAATGAGAGGTAGAGTCCCTTTATGTCATCATGGGTCATTCCTGCCACAGAGCTCCTTCTGGATTTGACTGAGGCCTTGCTGCAATTGCTCGGAAGTCCAAATCCTTCTTCTGTCTTAATCTACCCTCTTCAATCCCTACAGGTGCTGACTCTGAGAGCAACCTTAAACTCCATCTTCCTTCCTTCCTTCCTTCTTACCTACTTTGAACTCTATCTATATATCTATCTCTGCCTTCCTACTTCAATACTATCTATCATCAGTTACATCTATCAGTATGCGTGTTCTCAATGTGAATG